CGGTTGGCTTAGATCTTAGTAAGTAGTTTGTATGATGCAACCCGAAAGGGATGCTGACTTTTGGGGCTAAGGCAATTGGGTTGGATAGAGTCTGAAGTTGGTGTAGAAAAGTGGCTATTGTGCGTTTCTAAGAAAGGTGACCCTTGTGCTTTTCTTTTACAGCATTATACTTGGTGGTAGGTTGCACCTTGCATTTTGATAGACTCTATGAGAGTAGTGAGCTCTCACTGATCTTGACTTTGTCTTGGCAGCCCTGCGCCTTGGCTGAGGATGGAGATGTCCAACTTAGTTGTTTAAGGTTGAGGTGTTAGTACCCATACTGTGGCTTTGTTTATGAGGAGGTTGTGTACCAACATGAGTTCATCTCATAGTCTTCACTTTAGTTTCGGCTGAGTGTTGATCATGCATAGTTAGCCTCTTCAAAGCATGCTCAGAGCTATTGGCTAAACGTGTCGGTGAGTTTATCGTAGTTAAGTTGGAATCGAGTGGTCATTTAGTTCATGCTTGTCCATGAATCTTTATTTCGTATCTGAGGTATTACGTTTATGTTGGACAGGTATATGACTTGATGACGTGAGTTTAGTGTTGGGTCTTGTGAAGGCAAGTTGAAGAGTGATTGTTAGTTGCCAACTAATGATTACTTGTAAACTTAGTTGAGAACTGTTAACACTTGCTTCACTCGATGAAGATTTATCAGTGATGGGTTTGTTTCACCGGATGGTGTTGCAGAGGATCGTGTTGTTAGTCTTACATGAGTTTTCCATGTTAGCATGTCGACTCTACCTTTGTTGATATCATTTGGTTGTATTTAATTCGTAGTGTTGGATTTCATTGAGTTTTGGGTGTGATAATTCACTCCTTGATGATATGTTATCTAAAATTGAGTATTGTTGAAGAACTAGTCTCAGATACTAACTAAGGTATCTTTGACTTTGTTTGGCTTGGTTGTTAGAGAGCCTTGAGTGGTGATTCACTCTTGCTTTCTTCTAGTTTTGTTATGGTGTTGATGGCATTGAAGTGATGCCTTGTTATTGACATTGTTGTTGTTGAGATTTAAGTGAGATGAGATGTGGCTTTGTGGGATTGATATTGAGTTTTATTAGTCTCAATAAACATAGTGTTGATGATTTGGCTATGGCTTTGTGTTATTGGCATTTGTGCATTTGCTAGTTAGCAATTATGTTGACGTTCAAATGAATTAAGTGGCAAGTTGAGTTAGTTGTGTTTTGGACGAGATTGTTTAATAGGGGTTGAACTTTGAGTTTTTCCTTGAAAAGTGATTTAGTCATGGACTATGCTAGCTCTACAAGGGGAAGAGTTAGTGATCGATATTGGAATGTTTGAGTTCTTATTGGATTTGAATTTGGATATATCGATCGTTGATGATTCTTTTTTGTGTTTGTTATGACGTGAGTTACATCTTGCTATAGATGGATTTATGTTCATTGTTAGGCAAGACTTGGCTATATGCTTCTTCAAGCTTTTGGTTCTTTGAGTTTTTATGCTAATTGTTCCATTTATTAGAAGTTGTTGGGGAAGGCATTTTTGGCTCATTAGCTTCGATGCTGAAGTTGACTTTTGCATCTAGCAATCATTGGTCATGATTGACTATCATCTAGGAAAGTTGATTATCCTTATCAAAAGGTTGCTTAATTGTTGTTGATATCGAATGATTCGCTATTCTTTGGGATGGTGGATTTCTTCTTTGACAATGATTATACATTTCTTCATTGATAGGATGATTGATGATCTTTCATGATAGTTAATTGTTCTCTTTGATGGCTTTTGGCTTTTCGCAATACCACATGTTCTTTATGGTTTGCTCCGGATTGGTCTCTTGGGTTTGAGACATTAGTAGGATGTTGCTAACGCTTGCTTAAGCAACTCTGGTTTCTTGGTATTGTTAACCGGAATCTATTCAGATTAGCTGGTATGATAGTTGGCATGAATGAGTGTTTGTTGGTCTTACCGCATTCATTCTATTCTGTTGATTGTTGCTCGAGTTAGTTTTGATAGATTTGGATGTTATTTCCTATGGGTGATATATTCGCGAGCATTGTGCTTGTCAGTCAATGATACTATGTGTTCTTTAGGTTGTCTTTGGTAAGTTGTTTGGTATACTGTTTGCAATCTTCAGTAGTTAAGTTTTATCATTGAGTTTTCTTGGTGATACACTGGCTATTGAATTTTGTTGGTTGGTAACTCCTATGTTTCCAACTATTGTGATCTTGGTGGTTCTTATACTATAATACTAGTTTATCGGATGATAACTTACTTGGAATACTTTTGTGTTCTAATCTAAGATTTATTCACTGATAATTAAGTCTCTAAAATATCATTGTTTATGACTTTGATATTGTCCATCTATTAATCTTTGAGTTTGGGCCAGTAATGGGCAGACTGACTTTGGCACTTCATGTGCATGGTGAAATCTTTAGTCATAGGGTAGCTACTGTTGACTGGTCACATAACCTGCCTCTCTGTCGATGTTCTTTATTCTGTTAAAAGGGCGTGACCGTGTAAACAACTTTAATTGCCTGTTTACAGTAGTCTATTTAAACCTTAACGACGGGTTTGGTTTCTTTGCTCAAGAGGGTTGAGGCCTTTCACTTCTCTCTCTATATTCCTACAGGCAGGGGCATGTCACACTTTTGTAAGCTGGGTGACTCCTAGAGTAGCAAGAGTGGCTAACTCTGTTGGTCATTTCCTTGTCAGCGATGGCCGGAAGGTGTCTGAGCTGGTAGCGCATCCACGTTAGACAAAGAGGTTGCCTCCTAACTCATTTAAGTTGGTGCATTTCTCACATAGTGTGAGTACCGTGAACTTTTTCTGGAGTTGTTTCCTTAGCGGTATTCTAGACTCGAGTATGCATCAACGAGGACGTTGATCTTCCTTAGGGGGGAGAGTGTTGCGAATGTGACTTCAGGTATCGAAAGTTACCTGTCGGCCAATCCTTACGGACAGTCTTTCCTTACTGCCATGATGGTAGGTTGGTATTGCTGGGCTAGTTATCATTCTCCTCCTAAGCTAGTTGAGAAACTGGTCTTCACGTGTGCACTTGACCAGATGAGCATTTGGCACATCTACGAAATGTAGAGATTGGCCTGAACACAATGGTGTTCGTCCCATGTCCAAATGAAAAATTTGGGGCTTTTGGTTCTAGGGGGAAATCAGGCTGTGGGAGTGATCAAGACAAGGAAGAGGGACATCGCCAGCAACAACAGCGTTCCAGTAGCTTTGCCGGAGTGGCCATGGCAAAGGACGAGCTCATTTTTTCTTTTTTCGCTCTCACAACTTGGTTTTCGTTCTTCTTCTTGATTCGACTTCACAGTTGGCATCTAGGGAGTGGCGATTCATTCAGATCTAGGATCTGGGAAATCTGGATGACCCTAGCTCATGCTCTGGAATTAGGGTTCTTGGGCAGCTGCTAGGGTTAGGGTTCCTGGCAGCTAGGGTTAGGGTTCACCCTGTTCTAGGGCTAGGGTTCCTTGGTGGCTAGGACTTCTAGGGGTGGCGGTGGTGAGTTACTGCCATCCTAGGAGGCTCTTAAGGCATCTCGACGGTGGATGGACAGTTGCAAAAGTTCCAGAAATGGAGTTTTTTGCCAAGATCTATGTGATCTTGCTTGCCTTGATGCATGATGAAGACGAGTGGTCAAGGATTAAGGGAGCTGGAAGTCACTTTAGGGGTGACTTTGAGCAGCTAGGACTTGAAAAAGTTCCCAGCTTTCTGGATTCTTTGTGGACAACCATGCATGGTGTCTTGCTTCAAGGTGATCAGGAAGGGAGGATTTTTGGAACCAGTGGCAGGGATTGCTGCCACGAGTTGGGCCAGCAGCTAATGGGGCTGATGCGGTGTGATACGCGTAGGGGATCCATATATTTGTTCTCCAACGCCTGCTTTGGAGTTCGCTCCCTTTGGAGGAGGTTCGCACCCTTTCCTCAGTCCCTACTGCAGGGCTAGGACTCAGTTGAAGATGAGCTAGCGCACTTGTCTCGTATGGGAGGCAAGGTAGCACACTCCAGCCTTGAGCTGGAGGATGTTCACACCTCGCTTGGAGCTACAAGTTGGAGCTGTGTCGCGACTGGACACTGTTTTGGGCCCAGAAGCATGTTGGTAGTGGAGTGCTCCAGACAAGTCTTGTAGGGCATGGAGCGTAGTAGGTGGCTTCAAGTTACGCAGAGTGTATAGGAGGCGAACGGCCCAAGAGCAGTGCCAGGCATTCATGCTCGTGGAGTGGAGCAGGTGGCCTCAAGTTTCGTGGTGGAGGCACCTGGGAGGCAGATGACCTAAGAGCAGCACCGGGTGTTCGTGCTCATGGTTTCGCTAGTTTCGCTAGGTACCCTGAGAGTGCGCTCTCAAATTTTGTATTACCCCCTAAGGGGATGTGGAGAAATGTACCTATATGTTGCATTGTCCCATGTCCAAATGAGCAATCTAGTGCCGTTCTATATTTAGTAAGTTTCGAGCTTGTCCCAAAGACTAACTCCTGATACTAAGGGAGGCTTAGGGTGAAAGCCCAAAGCATGTGTTCCTCAAGGGGGGGGGGGGGGTTCCAAATGTATATGGGTAGGTTGGATATGGTTGACCAACTTGAGGCATAGTCTAGCTCTTGCTTGCATGTCTGTCCTTGTTCTACATTTGGCTCGGGTCTAATCCCAAGCTCCACACCATGTGACACGAACCATAGAAATATTCCAAGAATATTCTATGGCCTGTGGGATTTAAGGCTGTAATGCCTTAAGGGTTGGGAGGTTGGCCTAGGGTTCGTTCTCTTGTTTGTTTTATTGGTATTGGAGTAGCACATTCTTTTGGGGATGGCGGGTGAGCAAGAGATTGATCTTGATGAGGAGTATGGCGTTAGTGATGATAGCCATGACGATGTGGAAGAAACTCTTGATGATATTGTTGTGCAGCAAGGACGCTAGATTTCTGTGGTTTAGAGTGACATAAAGGAGGTTAAGGATTCTGTCAATCTCATTAAGGATTTCTTGCTTCGCATGGACCCTCAAGGGCTGAATCAATCTCATGTCTGTGATTACCATTGGTATGTCAAGCATGCCAAGGATTATGGTATCATGGAATGGAAATCATCACCGAATGTTTATGATAGTCAAGAGGTTGAATCTTGGTTGGAATTGTGGGAAAGTTGTTGGTCTCACAATCCTTGTGAGGATAAGGTGAAGATAGAGTTCTTTGTGACGAAGCTTACGGGCCATGCTTCTTCGTGGTGGAAGAACTACATTAAAGCTAATCCGAAGCCGACTTCTTGGACTGATTTGACAAAGGTTTTCCGCGCTTCGTTTGTCAAGAAGTTTGAAGAGGTTGATCTTGTGAATCAGTTGTTAGAGATCTGGCAAGGGACTTTGTCTTTGGATGCGTATGCCCGCAAGTTCTGTGATCTTTGCCTTGTGATCTCACAGGCACCTATAATGAGCTGCTAAAGGTGCAATGTTTCATCAAAGGATTGAGCTTGGTGGATGTGCAGTAGAAGGTCAAGAAGGATTTTCCAGCAACATTGACTGATGCTATCACTAAGGCTCAAATCATTTTGCCCAAACTATTGGTTAACTTGGTCAATGCTGGTCAAAAGGATGGTCTTTGGGGTGGTCAACGTGATGACCAACCCACCAATACTTCATCTTCAGGGAAGAAACAGCCGTTGTTTCGTCGTAGCTCGAAGAGTGGAGATGGCAATGAGGCAAAAAGACATCAGTTAGACCAACGAGAGAAGGACAAGATGGAAGGCAATTGTTTTCATTGTCACAAGGTTGGACATCATGGCAAGGATTGTCCTCTTGTGAAGGGATCAAAGAATGCTAAGGTGAATGTGGTGGAATCCATTGTGGATACAGCTCAGGCATCTGTTGTGGTGGTTCTTCCACACCCTGTGGCAAAAGTTCAAGAATCTAAGTCTCGAGTTTGTATCAACTCTGTAGAGATTAATGGTTCTATGCGCAATCAACATGTGAAGGCCAAGGGGGACATTCAAGGACATGCTGTTAGTATTCTTTTCGATCCAGGTGCTACACACAACTTTTTGAGCTCCAAGGTGGTGAAGAAACTTGATTTGCCTATGGAAAAGAGTTTAGTAATCTACGAGGTGGTTCTGGCAGATGGACATAGCACTTGTGTTTACGGTGAATGGGCTCTGAGTGTTCCTTTGACGGTTCAGGGGATTCTCGACCATCCTTCGTTCCAGGTTATGGATCTTGGTCGCATAGACGTTATTCCTTGGAAGGAATGGTTTTATGATAGAAATCCAGGGATCGATTGGGAGCGTAATGTTCTGTGTATCGAAGTTGGTGGCATTATAAAAGAGATTGTCGGGACAGACAATAGTGATACTCCATTGATTAATGCTTTGGAGTTGGTGACATGTTCGCATGAGATAGCTAAGTCT